ATATAGGGGAAAAAAAGTATTTTGTTTAGAATAATTTTTCTTAAAAACAGCACAGACTAGAAAACAACATGCTTAAGAGTCTATATGATGACACAAGAAAAGCTTGGCCAAAGCCAGAGATCATCTTTCAAACATCTGGCTGGAATGTCTCAAAAAAACAATGAAAATTCAATTATGGAATCAATCTTAGAATCTCTATAAACAAGATCTAATTTGCATAATTGTGCCTCGTGAATGAATATCTATTTACATATCTTTGACCTCGGGCTAAACTTCTACCAACGTTAAAATAAATATTATAGAAAAAAGAACAGTAAAGGCCAATTGTTTTTTTTTTTTCAATTTTAAGTTTTTGTTATTTTAAAATACTGTTGAAAATGGCAGCGTTTCAAAGCCCTACCACGAAAGCATTAAGCACAAATGCAACATCTGGACTTCACAAAAGAATCTATTTTTTTTCATTTGTATTTTTGGCTGCTGAGCAACTTACTGCAGCACGATCTGTCACTTAGTATTCTGATATGGAACCAGGGCAGTAATAAATACCAGAAAAAGCTGCCTATTAACCCTTCTACTTGTCTTCTACACAAACAATCCCTCTGATGGGTTCTGACTGAAGTGTGTCTCAACCACTCTTTCATCCCTGGCCAAAATAGTCTACGGCTAGGGTGGGCGAGATAGCTCAGCTGCGGACTGCTGCGGGTCTGGGTTCATCCCCGACACCACATGCCGGGCCAGCCCTGCCCCAGGCATGCTGAGCTGGGCCCTAGACCCGACTTCATGGCACACACCTGTAATCCCAGTCCTGGGGAGGCTGAAAACTGGAGGATCGCTAGAGTCTGAGTTGCACAGCGAGACTCTACACCAAATACAAAATATTCTACTGTTTCCATATCTTCCCTGAACTTGTTTTCTTCAAACTGGCTGCCTCTTGGAATGGACGCTAACTGATTTTGGTTCCAGGACTAAACATGGAAAACTAAAGTAAAAGCAAAAGTACTGATAGTAATAGTGGGGCTACGGATACACCTCAGCAGTAATTTGCCTAGCTCTACTTAAAAAAATAACAGAGGAATCATTTATTCATTAATTCCCCCAAATCTCTTTATAGAAGATGACAAATAAGTTCAGCTGTACGTTTCCTCTGTTGCAGGTAACTGGAAATGTTTCTCCCTTGCCCAGCTCCATCCCCGGACACCTCACATCTGAAGCACATCAGGCAGCTTAAATCCTACAGCATACAGAACTTCCTGAAAATCTAAAGTCCCGTTATAAATGTTTCTCTCCACACCCGCTGTGCGAAAAGCAACAGGATAAATCCGAGCAGGGCCCAAAGATGAGCGACATACATAGCTTCTCCCGGAAGCTATGTTAAAATGTACACGATCACTAAGACTACAAAACACAAGCTACTAAGAAGTTTAACAGGAGGGGCCGGGGAGATAGCTCAGTAGAACAAGTGCTCGCCTGGCAGGCACTAGGGCCTGAGTTCAGTTCCTGGTTCCACCAAAAAAAAGAAGTTTAACAGGAGAAAACCCAAAGTGCTAGCTGGAGTGAAAACTCCTACTGAAATGTAATCACTTTAGCACAGCCTGCCCCAAAATCAGTTTAATAGTTCAATACCATCCTCTGGTATAAGGCTATGTTGTGGGATTCTTAACAGTATCTTGTTATTGTCCCTCAGAATTAAAGTCTTATCTCTAGTGGAAAACTCCACAGCTGCTGTTGAATTTCTGAATTTCTTGGCTTCTAAAAGAAAATAGAAATAAAGGCAGAGCAGGCCAATATATGACTACAACACCTGAAGAAAACGGACACATCCCAAGAACTGCGAGCCACCCACCCAAGAGGGGACTGGGAAATCTTTCAGGAAGCAATCATTTGATTCAAAACTGCACACAGAGGGTAAATCATGACTGTCGGCCTACTGACGAGAAAGCTTGCAAAGCGGAGCAGGACTAGCTCTGCTCAACCAGGAAGGCTTTCAGGATAATTTGCTTTGCTTTTTACTCTCATCTGCTCGGTAAAGAACATCCACATGTATACAGTATACAGCTAACACACGGCCCCGCCGTGGTGCGCAGGGCGAGGTAGTATCGGGGTTCACTTCTGGGGAAAGCACTGTGCCCCTAGAAATAAGGGGAGACTCTACTCCACGGCCTCATGTCCTCGGTGGCCTCCCCGGCCTTCCCGGCTGGAGCCGCTGTCCTGGCTTCCTGCAGCGACGTCACGCACCCTCTCCCTGGTACCACTCGGTGCCAAGCTCTTGGCTGGCACACCCGGATTACAGCGCTCATGGCCCACCACAGCAATCCCTCCTCCGTATCTGCTTCCTGACTAGATAGTGAGGGCGTGCCGGTCGCGAGTACAGAATCCAAGCGCGTCTGATAGAGTAAGTGCACTCAGCATTTTTCACGAAGATAACAGAGTATCACTGGAGAAGAGAAGCTGCTAGGGCTGTAAAACCGCAAAGCATCACCTTAAACACGTTGTTCTGAAAAAGCAAATCATTTATTCCTCCAGCAAGGATTTGTTTGGCCCCTACACAGCTTAAAACTCAAAGCAGCTGTTCCCAGGCGCTCCATCATGGAGGGAAGTGAAGTATAGACCCAGTTCTTTTAAAATTTTGTCAATGGAATGCCTACACTATTTGAGACATTGTGCATGATTTCTAGAAGACATAACTGATCTATACCCAGTTACCAAGAAATACACACTCCAACTGTAGAGATTGGAAGTTCAAAGATAATAACAAAATACAGGCTGAATAATACTGCCAGAGAACCTAGAGCTAGGGACTGCGCTGAGCCACCAGTGGCACTTGGGGCTTGAGGATCAACATCAACCTTCTAGGTTTGCAATGGGCTTGGGAGGAGGAGGAGCCATTGAGAGAGGGTGGCAGATAGTTCTACTTCAGTCAATGCAGGAAGAAAAGTTTTGTAACAACAAACAATTCTCCCCTCCCGCAGCCACCTTCCTTCTACTTGACCTGTTTAAGCGTCTTCCCACTTCTTCAACCTCCTTCAGAAAGCTGTCAGGCTGCTCCTCTGGGGCCTGTGGCCACGACAGACATTTCTTTTCTGTCTTTTTCAGACAGGGTCTCTGTGGTCTCAAACTCACAGCGATCCTCCTGCCTCAGTCTCCCCAGTGCTGGGGTTACAGGAGTATGCTCCCACGCCCGGCTCTCGAGTGGGTTTTAAACTACTACACAACTATTGGAATGTCAAATCCTAGGAAAAATAAATTAGTCAATTGCATTAACAGTACAAAACCAGAAACAAAGGTCAAAATTATTCAATTTAGCCAGTCTCCCTTCCCATACTTGGAAATTATTTTGCAGTAATTTTGTAGTAGGTGATACACCGCAGTCAGCCCATCTCCAGTAACTATTAAAAAGACGATTTTATAACAACGTAAACTTTCAATCGACAGTGTTAAATACTGTCTGATAGAAAAATGAAGTGGTGGCGCAAGCCTGCAATCCAGCACCCGGGATGTTGAGGCAGAAGGATTGCTGTGAGTTTGAGACCAGTGTAAGCTACAAAGTGAGCTCAAGGCCACCCTAAACTTCATAGCAAGACCTCGTCTGAAAAAAAAGGACAAATAATAATAATAAATCACATCAAAAAAAAAAAAACAAAAATTGCTGGCGTCTACTTAAACATGAATATGCTGAGCTACCAATTACTAGGAAGTTTTAATCTTAAGTAGCTTCTCAAGGGTAGTGGAGGAAGTGTAGTTAAGTACATCTACACAGACTTGAGGAACAAGCCTGAATTATTTCTGTAATTAAAAAGAGCTCAGTGCTTTTATGATGCCTTATCAGAATCAGAGACTACACAAAATCTTTTTCTAAGTTGAGATCTATTGATGGCACAGTGGAACCAATAAAACCTAGAGCCTTTGCCTATGTCAGTTTCCATCTGGGTTTTGACCTGCTTCATTTTTAATACTCAATATACACAGGGGCCTCTCACCTTCACAGAGACGTTTTCCAAGGAAACTGCTTGTGCTCATTTTACTGCTATCTTTAAAACTCTGCTCCCGTGGCTTATATTTTTATGGAAACATCACTTACTACCTAACCTCGCTACATACTGGCCTCAGGCATTCTCCATCCAGCCTAGCACCGAATTTAGGAGGTGGTGACACACGGGAGCCGGCTCGGGGGCAGGCGGCAGCAGGGCAGGTCCACCTGCGCGCGTGGCACCGCCTGCACCTTCCGGAACGCGAAGAAGTCTCCGGGCACTGCTCTCCCGCGCGCACCGCCCGGCCTGCGGTGGGGTGAGGTAACCCCTCTGCTCCACTTGGCCCCGGACAGTGAGAAATTTACCAAATGCTGAGTTCAACGGTCAGGGCCAAAACACGTGAACGGAAGACAAGCCACATCCAACTCCTAAAATTAAGTTACTCTTAGAGTTACAGGAGAAGAGCAGCGCTTCAGGACGCGTGACCGAACGGTCCTGATTTAAACCTGATCCGGCGTCAGGAGTCTGGGCCGGAGCTGCCGGGGCAGAGCGGCGGGTAATCTAATCAGCGTCCCGGAGAGGCCGGTGCGTCGCCGCTCCCGGGCGGGATCGCCTCGGGACCCCGCTCCCGGCCCTTCCTCGCGCCCCGCCGTCCGCCTCTCGTTTTCCCAGCTGTCCCCCTTCGGTCCCCGGCTCGTCCCCGGCTCGTCCCCCGCTCCAGGGCCTCAGCGATCGCGCAGGACCCCGCGCCCGGCTCCGCTCCGCAGAAGGACGGGACCCGCCGCGCCCCGCGCCCCCAGATCCATTCCCGGGCCGCCCGTTCGCTTCCACCCTAGAAGGTTCAGGGGTCCCCGCCCGCGCCCCGAACCCCGCCTCCGGGCTCGCCGCGGCACCCGGCGCTGCGGAACCCCGGCCGGCGGGGGCGCAGGAAATGAGCCTCAAGTTGCCTCCGGCCCGGCCTTCCGCGCGGGGCGGCCGGGCCGCCGAGCCCCCTTCCCCGCCTTCCCGGGCCGGGCGCGGGCGCGGGCTCACCGAGGTCCCCGTCATCGTCGTCCTCCTCGTCCTGCTCCACGTCCAGCAGGACGTTCCTGGTCAGCATCTGCATGTCCAGGGCGGCTCCGGGGGGCGGCCTGGGGCGGCTCCGGGGGCGCGGGACCCGCGCGGGTCTGGACACGGGGTCGCTGCCGGGAGCGAGCGGGGAGCTGGGGCGCGAGCCGGAGCGGGCCGCCGGAGTGCGGAGCGCCGT